CATCTTTTCGCTCGGAAACCCATCTGATTTCGGGAATCGGATGGGCTACCCGATCGGATCTATTCCTTAAATCCACGACTTGTTCGTCCCGTCACTTGATATCATAAAAAAGTAGTGTAAAAGTAGTAAAGTAAAAGTATCTCATCAGTTTTAACAAATCCGCAACACAGATATCCTACAATATTTTAATTATTTATTTATGCAAAGTCTATTAAACAAGTGTAGTCATATTTTGAGATGCAAAAATTGTCTACTCAAACTTTGTTTATATGTACATATACTGAAGCTTTCCGGTAACCGATTATTAACTTTTTGTTAATGATTATTAACACCTTTAGTGGGTTACCGGAAAGCGCGCGAAACCGGATTAAAATTACATATTATTATTGTATCCTGTATATTATGATACAATCGGTACGCAACAGACTAAATCAAATATTTTTGTGGTAATGAACAAAGTTTTACCCTTCGCAATTTTCATTTTGCCATATCTTGTTGAATGTTCTAATTTAGGAAACTAGATAACAATTTAGGTGCGTTGCTTAAATTATAGCGGCATGGTTTCATTTCCTCTACAGAATTATTCACGCTCAAAACAGTAAATTATATGTAAAATGTATATTATTATATACAATATGGCATTATTGAAATTCCATCTTTTATGGCAAAACACAAACTATTGTCTTGAAAATTGTCATTGAAATAGTTTAATTACTACTGTACTAAGTAATACAAATTAATTACAGTCGTATTATGAATACAACCACACAACAAATACAGTAGAACTGGTTATATAGCATTCGACGCGTGCCAACATTAGGTCTCCTTAGAACCAATTGAGTTCAGTCCGCCATTTTTGCTTTGTATGGTATGATTGTGTCATTCTTTCGCGCAAATTCTTTAAAATCGTAGAAAAAGGCCTTATTGTGATGTTTTGGACGGCAAAAATGACAGCCGCACCAAAATATTACCCATTTTATTTGTAAGTCAGTGCCCGTTGTAGTATTTTATATCATCGGTACGTCTTGTTTTAATATATTTTCAATTTTCTGTTTATCGAAATAATTTTTTGTTACAAGAAACGAAAGTGAAGTTTATATCCCTGAGATATGGTTGCTTCTTTTTTGGAGAACTAACGAAATAACTCCAATTCGTCGTTGTTCAGCAATTAACTGCTAGATGGCAGCACATTGAAGGAAATCGTCGTAACGTCGCGCCGCGTCGTTTTTAAATTTGACGATTTCGTAGTGTTTAAAATTAACAATGTGTGAGTTTTGGCGACATCGGTTCTAACAGTAATCGGCTTAAGGCACTTCCATTGTTTATTTTCGTCCGTGAATACAGCCTAACCATATAGGAGAAAAAACAAAACATGGGCAAAGCCTTTCCAAGGGTTTTCGTAGGTACAGTTTTTACACTAATAAATTTTTAGTACGTTATATAACGTTTTGAGTTTCTTAATTATTTGTTACTTTTTTACTGTGCCAAAATCCATTTTAATACATACTGACACCAACTCCAAAAATAACTAATTAGATATTGTAAATATTTGAATATAACATTTTTTTAGTGGTAAAGTAAAACTTCAAACCGATCAATAGGTAACTCATACCTATAATAAGATTTTATTAAAATTATAGGTAATATAGGTTTGGACAAGAATAATTACGTTGTAATTGTACCTATATATAAACAAATAAATAATAAATAAATAACGCACACACTCAAGATAGCCCCCACGCCAGGGAAACCCTATTTCGCGGGTGCCATTGACACACACGTTGACAACCACAAATTACACCCAAACTCGCGAGAGAAATAAATGTAGACCATACAAATATTTCTCCCGCCCCGGGAATCAAACCTGGGACCTCTGCGTGGCAGTCCGGCATGGTAACCGTTCGGCCACGGAGGCAGGTCATATAAATCATAAATGTAGATAGATTATTAAAAATAAGTTATTATAATACTGTGTACAAAACGAAATACGACAAAATGAATAAAAATAATAACGTGCATTGTTGTCGTTTGGATCAAATCTCTATTTTATTATTTTTCGCTTTTTAGTGTAGTGACTGTTTGTGGTTTTTGAAGTAAGTTGATTTTTTTTAAAGTTTGTTTATTATATTCATACATCATATTCGTAAAACATTAAGTTATGTATATTCTTTCTTGCGCCAAACAAATGATGGAGATCCCTGTCAGCTAACCCAAGGCAGTGAGAATAAATGTCATAAGCGGGCAATAGTATTACAAAAGAAAAAGAAGGAGAAATATAATAAGTTTACTATTTTGACTTTTTTTATTGCATGTGGTCCTCGCATGCAAAAACTTATTCTAATTTGCGTAACTAATTATAGTTACAGAATTAGATTAAGCTTTTCAAATGTAATAACGCATGCAATTATTCTAGCGACTGTTGGTGTGCCTAGTAAATAAATTAACAGATATAAATATTTTTCATACTTGTTGTAAGAAGAAATTTTAACACTACAACTTTTGTAATAAAAGTTAAAGTATACAATTTCCGACCTACACAGCACAATTCGAACTAAAAATGTTTTAGAAAACATTTATTTAATCAAATTACGCATGCCATCAATCCTCTAAACACATTTCTTTGCTAGAAGCTCATATGTACCTTTGCGGTAGAATAATAAGGCATGGGAAACACAAGGTGTCTAATGAGACTCAATTTCGACTGATTCCCTTGTAGGTAATTATCTAAATTGCAAAAAAAAATGTAGTCGAAAGAAGCTAAGGCAATTCTCGCAAGATAGAGACGATTTGTTCATTAGTACGCGTTCTATCGTTATCGCGTAGAAGTGGCAGTGAAGGTCGATGGACAAGCTGTGGTGTTGGTACTCATATTTCTAGTTTGTTTTTTAGTTTTTACCGGTTTCAGTAGTACAGGTATAGACACATTAGACCATTCTCCTGCTTTCTCTGTAATTTGTGATGCTGCGGCTTCAAAAATAGCTCGCAACTCTTCATTATTCCGAGCAAGCAAAAACCACACAGTGCGGTCGTTAGTTGTATCTGCTGTATACAAGTCGCTATTTCCAAGCACTTGCGCGGCATTAGCAGGTACCACTCACCAGTCTTCGTGTTTGACGTAGTTAAAAGCTTAGAAGATCAATTTCATACTACAACTCCTAATTACGTCACATTATTATACATTGTTTACGTGCATCAAAAAATAGCGTCTAGTCAAGCAAACAGACTTATAAATAACCAAAAATATACAAATATACAAAGGGGAATTGAAAAACACTAGGAGTCCACTCACCTGATGACATTGCCGTTGATTACGACACATTGCGGGAGATAAAACCAAACTGTATAAAATTAATTTAATTTTTTTTAATAAGTTTTCACCCATTACTTTGGATAGGCGAAGGTTCTATCATACAGCCTTTTCTTATTATATTATATTTATATTATATATTTTCCTTGTTTTGATGAAATAGGCGACAATCGCTTCTTTTTAATTACGTTTTCTGTAGCAGACACGTAGAATTTCTTAGCGTGTACACATACATAAAATTGACAAAGCCTTCTTCAAGAAGAGTCACGATTTTACCAGCGAGTATAATCCTGCCGACTATAGAACGATATAAAATTCGAAAAATTAATTTTAACAAGCAATGGACAGCAAAATCAATAAATTAAAATTACATGAACATTAAATTTTAATAAACAACACAGCGTCTGACTACATACACAACGCCAACAAACCTTTAAATTTAAATCGAATAGTGTTTGAATCAATTTAAATTTTTCAAATTTAGAACATTTTATCTTACCTGCTAATACTCTTACAAGTAGACAAATCTTTCTGATTTATTCCTATTCATTCAAAATCTTATTTTTTTAAAGATTTGAATGGTTGTAACAGGTTGTAAAGAAAACTTTTAGGTTCCCGTCATTGACTCTTACAATTATATGGACGTCGGGTCCGCGCTAAAAAGGGTCCGAACTTATAGGGCGTTAAAATCGTATACAGAGCGTCATTCACGCTTTAGTCTTCGTTTGTTCGACTGACAGCGAAGCAAGCAAAATTAGACAGTACTGCGATGACATTACAATTTAAATTCAACGTTTTAGTTTTTTTAAATCCCTAACGTGTACGTCTACTACGTAGTGCTACGTTTAAATAGGTTGACTTGGGACAGTTTTTTTCGTGGTTTTTGTATTAGACCCGTCGTCCATTTATTTGTAAGTCAATGGTGCCCGTTTAATTTGCAAAAGTGTTTGTAAATATCTACGCTGCAATCAGATAAATAATAACGAACCACATTTAGAAAATGCTCAGTACAACCATAAAAACCGGTAAATGTATTTCTATAATAATTATATGTATATAACTTTTTATTAAAAAAAATGACCTCAAAAGTTCGTGGAATTTTGAAAGTGGGACCTGACGAAGAAGTGCGCTTGATGGTAAGCTACACGCCTGTCCATAGTTGCAGTGCCACTCAGAGCTATAAATCGCATAGATCTGAGGAGCACTCCCACTGAACCCTTAGACGTAAGTTGACAACTTCCATGTGCCTGTAATTTCACCAGCACCCTTCAAAACCGGAAGACGGTAATGCTGGCATTACTGCTCGGCGGCAGAAATAGGTAAGGTAGCAAGTACTACCCTGGACGAACTCTTTCACAAGGACTCTACTACTACTCGGAGCTCTACTACTAAAAGGAGCTCTACTACTCTACTTTTTTATTACATCTATTTGCTAAGTTTTATCGAAATACCGGAAAGTGCGCGAAACCGAATGCATCCCCTAGTTTGCCCACCTTAGAGGTGGAATATTTTCTTCAAATTTAAATGGGACCAATGCAAGTGAGGCACCCTGTTTTCAACAAAAAAGAATTATCGCGTAATATACGTACAAAAAAAAATACAGTCGAATTGACGACCTAGCATAAAAATTTTAATGTAGAAGTAAGCAACTAAACTTTTAGAGAAGAACTAAACTTTTTTCTGTTATTTCCAGGTACATCCTCTCTTTAGCCCTAGCCGATCTTCTAGTCATCATAACCTGTGTGCCATTCACATCAATCGTGTACACCGTGGAATCCTGGCCTTGGGGAGAGACAGTCTGCAGGGTGTCAGAAGCTGCCAAGGACGTCAGTATAGGAGTATCTGTCTTTACCCTGACAGCCCTGTCTGCTGACAGATACTTTGCTATTGTAGATCCGTTGAGAAAGCTTCATGCTACAGGTTCGTAACATACTATGATACAGACTATCGTAGACAAATAATGATTATTACTAATTACTGGTTTCTTAGCACGGTGTGATTATCTTTATTTATGTTTTCTTTTTATACGCCTGATATTTCGGCTAACCGTGAAGACGGATTTAAACTATCACATGCGTGGAATCCGGTGCTTAGTGCTAGCAACGTTAATAAGAAAAATGATTCGACTTTAGTTTCGCGTGTGGAAACAGTGAGTTTACTTTGTCGGAAAAGTGAGTGACAATGGTAACGCCAAAAGTAATCGAGACGAATGAAGGTAGTCGTCGACAGCGAAAGAGGATAGACAAGTATGTCTGTTCTTAAACCTCGTCGCCAGTCCACCCGTGACCATGGAGAGTGTCACCGTTCTGAAATATTGGGAAAATAAAAGAAATCTTACCGCGGTAAAATTGCTGTAACTAGTAGGCAGTAGGTACTGGGTAGATAGTAGGTAAGTTACTAGAACCGCGTGATGTAGTGCTAGCAAAAAAATATTACATCACACACTATTTTAAGTCTCTGGGTACACGAGCTTAACAACAGAGTATTACACGAAACGTAGAATGGAACACAACTGTTATTAGTAAATAGCGGGCTTTGTCCAGACACTATCGCGCGTGATACAGCAGTCGGGCGCCATTGAGCACGCGTATAAAGGACATTGGAAGGAAAAGGGAAAGACCGCGCGATTGCCCTCATCAGTCGCGCGCGCAATCGCGCACTCCAACACGCGCCACACGGTCTGTCCTGCACTATTAGCCTTTACACGGACGCTCTTTCCGTTGTAACGAAAACGAACATGAGCAATCGCACGCGAAAGAACGTTAGCTTAAAAAAATTTAAATAAGTAATCGCGCACGATTGCGCGTGCAGGCTTTACCGCACGCAATCCTATATGCTCCTGAGCGCGCGCGATAGAGTGACTGTGTGTAGGGGGCTATTAACGCTTGCTCGTCGTTGCGGTGGGACATAGAAGAAATTGTACTTGCCCGTGCACACACTTAAAAGTACGCTAATAGTTATTAAATCATACTCTTAATAATTCATGATTAAGCGATAAAGAATAGCTGACACATTCAAACCGTTCGATCAATGGACATATTGAAATTATATCATTTTACTATAGATCTAAGAACACGTAGTAATGTATTGATTATATCATACTTGTTCTAGTATAGCTTTGGCATAAACACTTCACATAGGTCAAGTCACGTTCCGGGACCTTTTCGTTGTTATAGCACAACGTCAGGAAAAAATACCCCAAAAATACTCCAAATGGACGAATAAACATTCCGGTGACAAAAGGGACTGTCTGACTGGGCTCGTTTTATGAACTGTTAAAAATTTTGACTAGAAGACAAGATAGCGTAATGTCTTTGTTGGGTTAACACCACAGACCACATAAATACTAGGTTAACATTGAACATTGTACATAATGGAAACCAGTATAAATAGTCATAGTTAGTTAATTATGGTGCCAGTACACAGACTTGACTACGAAACAGCAAATCATGATCGGATACAGAATTACGATCTCTATTATTTACTGCACAAAACTGTTTACCTTCCAACTATTCACTGCTTCATAAACATTGACATAACAGTGATGGGTTTGGGTTCGGCATTAACAACAGGATGTTCTATAAATCATGGAGCAATGAGGCAATATTATTTTATATTTTTGAAAATTCATAAACGATATTCTCTTTTCATATAAAATTTAAATCTTTAAAATTTATACGTTTGTATATACAAAAAAGTTGAAAGTATTTAACAAAATAGGGCAAAACCTTGAAATCCAATTGACGGCTGAAACCGGGATCAATATTTTTTTATACTCGGAGCGTGATCTGTAATAAGGTTAGCTATCAGTAGTCCGAAATGACATTTTCCAGAAATAACGTTTGTTCGAATTTTCATAACCTCGAAGGTAATATTGAGAAGAAAATGTTTTTTCTTTTAAACCTAACTTAACCTAACCTAACCGAACCTAATCGTGTCTTTGCGATAAACATTCAACATAATTCTGAAATAACAACGGTTTCGTTATAATTCGGTTTTCGGAGTAATGAAAATTCGAACAAACGTTATTTCGGAAAAAAATTCGAGTTTGTGATAGATAACCCTGTAATAATACTCCAAAAATTTCGAATTTGTTTCACTTTGCTTCAATAAATTGAATATTTGAATATCTTGATCATAGATTAAGAAAGCTCCTTAATACTGTCATCAACTTGAATTACAAGAACAGGTACAATAAATTACAACCTAGAAAGTGATGTTGGGCACGACACGTTACATGTAAAATTTATAGTCTCATACCAATTCCCAATTACTGAAACGCCTTAAAGCATGATATGAAAATACGCGCTGACACATAAGGGCGCGTTCCCATATGTCGTGACGACAGATAGTCGTGCAGATTAAAGTGTCGTGCCTTGTATATTTCAACGAAGTTGTTCACATACCACACGATTAACTGTCCTTCATGACTTTTTTGATATTACGACGACAGACTGTCGCGACAATGGGAACAGCTAGAACGGCAGCCGATGATAAATAAAACGACACGATAAAAATGTGACGACAGATAATCGCAGCTTCATGCGAACATGTCGTACAAACTACATGGCGGCTGTCGTGACCCGATAATTGTCGGCACGATCTAGTAGAAACAGCTAGACACGACAATCGTTCAACGATAAAATAGACGTCCACGACATAGTCTCAACAGATATGAGAACATGGGAACACGCCCTTACGCTGCCACATTCATTGTTTACTCAATTAACACAACAGAATACAAACATGTTCAAAGAAAATTAATAAGCAAAATACCATGGAACACTAAATAAGAAGGGTTGTATGTGCAACCTATAAATTACCACTGTGAGACTTAATGAGTTTTTTATACTGTCCATAGGAGGCAGCAAGCGTGCAACGAGGCTTACAGTAGCGACCGCTGTCGGCATATGGGTGTTGGCCGCATTGTTAGCAGCGCCGGCCTACATCGGCTCCTATGTGAGAGCTTTTGTTGTCAATCCTACTACACAGGTATATATGATAGTCGATACATATTAGCCCCTGTTATGTAAACTTTTTCACTAAAGGTAAAGCCTTCTTGAGCAGAACTCTGCCTGAGTACTATTGCTATCCTATCTATATCACAAGTGCCAGCAGTTCCAGAAGGGACAGCCAATTGTCACATATACTGGAGACCTTTAATATCTTAAACCATTGTCGACAATACGCGTCATGTAGAGATAGATGATTTTAATAACTTGTAATGCTCTGTTGAGTAAAAGTGTAATTAGGATACAAAAGAACAATAGCAAAATCATAGTTAAAAGAATTTATTAGCGTCTTCAAATATCTTAAATACAGGTTTGAATAAAATATATTCATTAGGTTTTTCAAATTATAATACTGGCCTCTATATGTCTGGAAATAAAATTATGTTTAAAAGAAACTCTAATGACTAAGTAGTAACCGAACCTTAGAGGATGGAAAAAACCGAACTGATATCTACAACTGTCAGTTTCTTAGTTTCTTGACGTTAACAACATCTAGCCGCCAAAAAAAGAATTTCAGTACCTACGTATGGATACGGTCCATATTAAGTTAGTTCTAATATCAAATGTACTGATTCGACCGATTTGTAATAAGAGAAAAACTACTTCATTACAAAAAATAAAGTAGATAATTCCTTCTCCAAAATGCCACTCGAGAAAATAGTAAAACTGACAAAAAAATCCCGAAATCAAAGATAGATGGCACGTTTCACAAAAAAAGTAATTAGTGTCCGAATCTTCCGAGATATTATTGCAATTGTCTGGGATATGTATTAATTAACTCATTTTTTTTTTGTTATAGCTTAACTTCGTGCCTTTTGACCATACCAGTATAAAAAATAATTTCCTCTGAACTTTCGTCACGTCACAAACCCACGACACCATTCAGGTTCTACTAACTCTGTTTCAGGCTTCTGTAGTTTATTTTAATATAATAATACACCAAATATATGTTATTCAATTACGTAACAGATAACCTCCAAGATTTCAAACTGGAATATTTTTAATTCTAGACTTCTCAGAATAGTAAACCCAAAACAAAATTTGTTTTCAGAAATTTCAACTCTACATTTTCGTATATTTTTCATAAATAGACGCATACAAATTATGTCAACAAAAATTTCCATGGGAGATTGCCATTGTTCTTTCTACAAGTACACGGTGGCATCAGTTTACCTTAGTAAGCTTAATTACTATCGGTTATGCAATAACCGGTTAAAAGCGTAACTACTAGATATAAAAAAAGATAGTTAAGTGACCCAAAGACATTTAATTATTTCAGTTCTTAGTGTGCTACCCTTATCCCATGGAGTGGGGTGACAACTACCCTCGCACGATGGTGTTAATAAAGTTCCTGGTGTACTACTCCCTGCCACTCGCTGTCATAGCTCTGTTCTACGTGCTAATGGCGAGACACCTTGTTTTGAGTACACAAAACGTGCCTGGAGAAATGCAGGGAACTCAGAGACAGGTAGGCAAAAGAATAACGACCACACGAATGAAATTGCATTTGACAAATAGAAATGGTAAAGTCATCGAACCACATTTATATGCAACAACTAATAATTGCCTCCGTGGCCGAACGTTACCATTCTGATCTGCCACGCAGAGGTCCCGGGTTTTATCCCGGGGCCGGGAGAAATATTTGTATGGCCTACATTTATTTCTCTCGTGAATTTGAGTGTAATTTGTTGTATTCTATGTGTCCATAACATCCGTGACACAGAGTTTCCCTAGTGCGGATTATGAGTGTGTGCGTTATTATTTATATAATATTTATTTTATTATATGTTATTGTCTTAGTATTATTAGTTAGTAATACTAAGACAACGATCACATAATTTTTAATCTTTTGTACATTAACGATTAATTAAATAAAAAAATCTGTTTTGTGCAAATAAATATTGATGGTGGAAATTTACAAAGTCGTATGGGACATTTAGTCGTAAGGGAAAATGACGTTACAACAAAATGTCTCGAAGATGTATATAATTTTGAAATGTCGTAGGCGATATTTTGTTGTAAGGAATAATTTACATTACGACAAAATATGACAAAATATTCTTTACGACATTTCAAATTTGCACCGTCGTATTACATCACTGCGTCGATTAAATTTGAAAACCTCGTAACTCCGTTTTTGGACATCCATTTTGTACTCCCTTAATACTTTGCAAACTCTTATTTAGTTATAAAATAAAAGTAGATTGTCATATAATTATTTCTGTAGGTAACTCTGTTTTTTTATGCCTACTCAAAAGTTCACATTACAGGGAGCTCCGAAATTTAGGAATTTACCCAACATTAATTTAAATATGCACTTAATAAAATAACTTACTAATCCTCAATGCTCGATGTTATGTTAAGGGTATATGACTCTTATTGTATAGCGATAAAAAATGATATAAAGCGTTGATTTTCTGTAACTTTCTGTTACTGAACAAAATATAAAGTTTTATTACCCACTTCTAAATGAGGAGCAATATTTTTGTGAACTTTAACGATATATTATCTCATGTAAGACATAATGAGGCGCACAAAAATAAAATACAATGCTATAAACACATAAATGAAATTAGTATTCTATGGTACATACTTACTTAGCTAAGTACTAATACTAGTAAGTAGTATCTAGATATCAGATAGAGCAGAATCTAGTATTGCTTTTGGCTATGTCTGTCGACGTATCTAATTAATTAGTAAAAGAAACCATTCATTGCCGATGTTAGACGTAAATGTTAGCCGACATGTCAACTGGCATATTATTAAAATTTGCACACGATACGCCACAGTGTACATTTTTGTAATTTTTTTTTTTCAGATGCGTGCAAGAAGAAAAGTGGCACTTACTGTGCTGGCTTTCGTAGTAGTATTTGCGGCTTGCTTCTTGCCCTTGCATGTCTTCATGATGTGGTTTTATTACAGGTAAGTATACCTAATACCCCTTCAATTTGTATAACTCAAGTAAAGGATCTAGTAAAGGATCAACCAAAATTGACATCGTCCGGTAATTAAACGGAATTTAAAGTTTTTTGTGACCTCGTAAAGTATAAGAATGATAGTGAACGTTTTGCAAAATTTAAATAGACATTGACATTACCTGTAAGCATCCAGGGAACTTAACTTTGGCGGTGATTTCAATACTTCTTTCGTAAGAAAGAAAGGCACAAGTAGCGAATTCTAAATTCGGAGATAAATGTGTTTAAATATTGATAAAATTTTTCTGATAAAAAGGAATAGTTAAAATATACGTTTGATGTTATGTAGTTTATTTATGTCATAAATACGTGTCACAAGTTTTATACAGGAAGTTTCAATGTATTTTAATAATCCGTTTTTAAAAATATCTTAATCTTATGTTTTAACTTAATAGAAAAAAAAAATTATATCATATAAAGGGCCTAATTAATTTATATTTGATATTTAATACTTGATTCATTAATAGAACTAAAGGTCACAATTATGTTCAGTTGTGCTGGTTTTGTGTTATTATATTGTAAGTGATAAGTAATAAAGGCACAGATCCGTACATTACTACGTAAAATTCTTTGATATTAATGTTTCTAACATAATGAACATCATATTGTCGGGGACAGTGCAAATGCAAAAAAAAAGTGGTATAGGTAAAAGGCGCGTATCTACACCAAACCAATTTTCACAGGAGTGGGATTTAACGTTATTACTTTGTTATGTCAATGACTTAGAATAATAACGCATAGAATGATAGTTTCATATCAAACGAACTGTCACAAGTGAGGCAAAAATCAAATTCATGTAGGCTAGTTTTGGTAGTAGGTTAATTTTCGGTTTTAGTGAATATTGATATAAAAATACAAGTTGAAACACGTTACTTCCTTGTGGAATGTGATGTTAGTATCTATTTTATGTTTGTCTGACGTATTTTTACACTCATTTACCGCACATTTCGTCATTTTTAGATAAAATTCTTGAGCTGTTCGCGGTGCAAGTTGCCTTTGAGCACTGAAGGCCCGCCCGCTCGTGTAGCCCCATTGGGAGCTCTTCAATTTGCCTCACTTACCGTGTGCGGACTAGGTTTCTATGCGTTATTATTCTAAGGTCAATGGTTACGACTTTCATTTTTGCACAGTAAGCATTAATTTATGTTGTCTACGGACTGATAACAATAGATTCCCGTAAATCACGCAAATTTGGTTGCCACGCGGATTTGATTAGACGACTAAATTACCGAAATGGAGACTCATAATGATAGTTACGCGTAATTGCATTATCTCCGACGAAATGTTACTTTTTACACTATAAAAACTAATTATTAATGTCAGTTGCCTAGCTTGTAGTATATTCAACAATTAGTGAGATATATTTCTTCAAAAATATAGGTAGATTGGTCTTTTTTCCTGATTCCAAATGTGACTATGAATGTTTCACAACACAAATTTAAAAAAAAAAATAGTTTTGTCCTTTTTCGCTCCGAGAACAGAATAATAATAATGAGTAACTCATACTAGCGACTTTTTATAGTCCAACTGCGCAAGAGGACTACAATGGCTTCTGGCACGGTTTACGTATCGTGGGATTCTGTACGTCGTTTCTGAACAGCTGCGTCAACCCCATCGCTCTCTATTGCACTAGTGGCATATTTAGGAAGCATTTCAATAGGTAAGAATTTTTCATTTTTAATCTTAAGTTTAATTTTCACCGAAATTCAAAGTTGACGATCGACTGTGGTGCACCTAACTTTTTCTTTCGTTGAAAAAAACATAATGACACTTTATTATTGAGACTCCACTACTTTTGTTTGTATTCATGATCATAACATAATGACACGTACTTTATGCGATTTGTCGTACATAATTTAATTAATACAAATCCGTTGGTATATTTTATTCTTATTCTTGTTGATATTAAATTGACAAAGATAACTAATTTTGTTTATTAAAACTGATTTGTTATAGTTCAACTTTTTTTCGTCAATCGTTGTTTTTCTTTCGTCAATAATTTTCCTCGCTATAGTGATGTGAAAAGTTGTGTCTTTCGCTCGTCAGCAGAGTTGTTTTGCGTCTCGTGCCTTGAAACCCTCGCTACGCTCTAGATTCTATTTTTAAACCACTGCTCGTTCGCTTGCTCAAGTTTCAATACAAGTACTCTCGTCAAACAACAACTTTACAGCCTTGCATAAAGAAATAACTATTTTAAATATTTTATGATAATGTTCGTAGGATAATTTTATATAGTTATACCCGCCGTTAAGTGCTGCGAAAAATTGTTCTTATTCATCTGTACTTTTGTAGATACATAATTGACCTGTTAAAAGCCACATATAAAGTGTGTGTTTTTTTTATAATTAAACCAGGTAATTAATACAAATCATTGAACTTTCCTGTCCATGACTCACGTCAAAGTTTTATCTATGTCTCGTTTACGACAAGCTGACTGTAAAGAGTCTATAAATGCGCTCTTTCACTTGAAGGTATCTCCTGTGCCGTGGGACATCAGTTCATGGCAACCGGGGTTCGATTTCACTCTCCACGTCTCGAAGGCTACATTCCAGCAGGAAAACTAATATCAGCATGGTCCCTCGGACGTAAGTGTAATACATTAAGTATAATATGTACCTACTGACTTGCTCATCATAACTAATATATTTGCATTCCGGTAACTTTCGATACATTGGGACCTAAAGTTTTATTGTCAACCAAAAATATGTCAATTTACAATAAAATTGAAACTATATAAGATATTGAAAAAATCGTTTATTGGGTGTTGTACATATCGTTTCGCTGTTCTGTTAATAACTCAATTTTGCTAAGAATAATTGTAATTTCTTTAAATTTTATAATACCACGTGTGGGACAGATACGTCGTGCACCTGGTGGTAAGTGACACACCTGTCTATAGCAGTTGCAGTGCCACTCGGAACTTTAAATCCACAAAGATCTTAGGACACTACCACTGCGCCCGTCAGCCTGAGACATAAGTTGACAAGTCCCAAGTGCCTGTATTTTCACCAGCACCCTTACCCTTCTAAACCGGAACGCAGTAATGCTCACTACTGCTTAGCGGCAGAAATAGGTAAGGTGGCAGTACTTCCCTGGATGAACTCTTTCACAAGGAGCTCTACTGCTACGAATAAATAAGACTTTATTCTTCAACACTACAACGAGACATAAAAACTTAAAATAATGGCTTAAAATCTAAATCAGAGTCTCAGCAATTTGCTGGTTTTCAGGCTTCACCTTGAATAATGTCGATTATGTTAGTTTTAATAAGGGTTTAGATATACATCGTCGAGTTATTGTATACGTCATCGCAAGAATAATACGGGTGCTACGTACTGCTTATTTATTAGCGAACCAATTACATTTAATTTATAACAACAGTACAGGAAAAATAAAGATTTCAAAAATTTCAATCATACTTACATAATTCCAGAACAAGTGTTATGGGTCGTGAAAGCAGCATCCGTTTGCTGAACAACGGGACGTCAAAACTCTGAGGGCGGAGCCCCGGCCTGCGGGTCGCTAACAATAATCAAGAGAGAAGCAAAGAAAACTATAGCAAATCGTTCGTCTTCAAAACAGACACCAGCGCACCTTTCCCTAAGTGTTGCGAAATGGAAAACGGTGTGAAACATCACGAAACCAGATTGGATGGAAACATCAGCAGTACAGAAAGTTTTTACTTGCCACTGGACAGTTATACCTAGGTCTAGTTAACTTGGTCAATTAATTATGAACATCTCGATAGTCTTTGTATCACTATTAAGTCTGAGTTCATAGCCACCTGGCAATTAAAAAATAATTGAACTGAAGCGCTTAGACCGCGGTAGACTGTCGTCTGTGTTTCTGAGCACCGTTGCGTTTTGCTGTCAGTAACAGGGAATCGTCTTAAGTTTTATAGAAAATTTGGCACGAAAACTTACCTAAATATTTCATTTACCAATCTATTTACTATCAATGTCAGTTTTCCCTTTTTTTTATTTACGATAGGACCTTTCCAATTTTCCAGAAAAACCTAAAGATATTTCGGAGGTCGTTTTGCTCGCCCTGTAGCATAGTGAGTCAATTTTTTTAGGTCGTTCCATTTTAGTTTTATTGGCTCGCTACTTGTTATCGTTTCCTTGGTCTTACACAAAGACAGTAGTTTTGATTTTTTTTTCATAGTCCGTAGCACCATCCACTCGAGCGGACCTAATGTACATCCACCTTCATAAATTCCGTAATTATCCCTTAATTAAATTTCTTCCAATCCGTAATCATTATTCTGTCATAGTGATTTCTAATTGAAAGTAATACGAAATTACGTGACTGAATTTCAAAAGGCGTGACGCAAGGCTCAGTGTAACTCAATTCAGCACTGGAGCTTCTGCAGATTAAGCAGCCATTCCTTGCACTTACACTTGAAAGTATATGACGATTTACATATTTTGTTGTTTACAGCAGTGGACGCGCCATCACAAAATTCGTCACTGAGATTCACACGACGAGTTTCCCTATGTATAGGGTACAAAGTATCAACTTTTCGTTTCTATATTTAGTCATCTATACTATACTATCAGTATACAGGGTGTAAATTTGAGACGGAGCAGCAAGGCCAGCCACCTTAATCGTTGTAGTTACAGGAAAACGGTTCTAGAAGACTATCCATGAATTTTGAAGATATTTTGATTGGCATTCACAGATTTCAAAAAATGGTAAAGTCATCAGATAAAAGGCAATTTATACAAAACTTTTTTTATGCCATTCGATCCAGTCTCTGGTAAGGATTAATAGTCTCTAGGACCAACTGAGGTAAGAGTGCTCGAAATGTCAGAAATCGCAAAATACTTTTTACCATGCATTTTGTAGGGACATATTTAGTAATCAGTTTTTTCTAGGTAGTAAATTTACACCCTGTATAGATATAGTAGACAGCAGGTGCAGAAAGAAGCAAGTAAATGGGCTGTGACAGAGAAACAAACAGATAAACAAACAAAACTAAGCTATAATTTTCCTGGTTTGAGTAGGCTAGGGGTTTCTGGAACACTAAAAATATTGACCTCTATATATAAGTACATTTAATATTATACAATAATAAATAATTGGATAATTATAACGTACTGACACCGTATTACTATATAGTTCTTAAAATGTGAATAGCAGAACATAAAACAAAATTTGTGATTCTAAGCGAACTAAAGTAAATATTTAAACTAAGTCCAATTTTTAAAAAGTTATATATATATGTAATATAACATACTTGTTTATCTTTTATTATATATTTTATTATACATATTGCATTAAAATGTATAAATTTTATTTTCTATATCAAAGTGTACCATACCTAACTTTAACTTAACCAATAAGGACTTAGCCATAGTTAATTTCGAACATTATATCTACCTACTATACCTACTATTCTTAAGAGATGAATAATAAAGATTTGTATGAAGAATGTATTTACTGCAATAATAAGTGTCTAGTTAAGTACCTACGTGCAATAGGTCCTTTAATTGTATATTTTCATATTATGCGATATGCGAAAGTAAATTTTCTCTAAACTCTAGGAGTACTGTTGATACGGACCTTTTTACCATGAGTACCATTTGTAGTACAATTGATAATGATTTATTTTATTTATACCATAACACAAAATATGAGAATCCTGTTTACCTTCCCTGGTTAGTGCAAAACTTTAACCTTTTAACAAACAGGTATAAACAATTTTCTACTGTTCCTTACTAACGATGCTCACTGCAGGCGCATTTTATTTACACAGCGTAACAAAAAGACACGATTATATTTCAACTTCTAATCATAATTGAGCTATGGAGCGAGGAATGCTCGACATTTCTCTACGTGATGAAATCAGAAATGAGGAGATACGTATAAGAACGAAAGTCACAGTAACATAGCACAAAGGATTAGCAAGTTGAAGTGGCAGTGGACAGGGCGCATAGCTCGTAGAATTGACGGCCTTTGTGGCAGAAAGGTTCTCAAATGAAGACCACAAACCGGAATGCGTTCAGAGTGACGGACGGCCCCGTACTAGATGGACGGATGACCTGGTAAGGGCGGCGGGTAACCGATAGATGCACGTCGCGTCCGACAGGAGGACTATGTTCAGCAGTGGATGTCTTCAGGCTGATATGATGATGATGAATAATTATTGATAACAAGCATCAAAGCATAAAATATTTTAAATACCGTTAATCGCGCTGTTTTTTCCGCGAATTTGATGTATTTTATTATCATGATTATCAGAAGATGAAATATTATCGCAACTTTTTTTTATGCTCTGTATAAATAATAATACCTGCAGGTACCCCACCTAAACGGTACTCGGTAATCGATCTATAGTCTCGTAAGACCCCGTTTACAACAAATTGTACATAATATATAAAGTTATTCAGACCCAGACAATAAACGCTCAGTCTACATTATAATGAAAATATCACATTCAAATTTAGTGCCAGATATTGTATATGACCATATAGAAAAATACGTTTTTCACACAAAACTGAAGGCATACTTGCTTGGCTCCAAAACATATAACTATATTTTTGGTACATTTTAATGTACAGTGGGTGTTTAGCGCTTTTCTCATTCTAATGTTCTGGGACATAAGAGGATAGAGTGCAAGTGTATAATTTGTAATAAATTTATGTATTATACTCCTATTTAG